AGTTCACACATAGTCCAGAATTTCTGTCTCCATTTCATTTTCACTCCCATCAGAAGGCTTGAAGTCCTCTTCCTCCTCCTCTTCATCATCCTCATCCTCTCCTGACTCATATGCCAGCTGCTCTTTGCCATCTTCACTGCTTGTTGTACTTGAGAAAAGAGCTTAATTGGGAAGAGAGAAAGAAAGACACTGTGATGGCTCTCTCAGTGAAACCTGGGGGCATTTGCAGTAGAGTTCATAAAACAAGTGAGAGGAAGGCAGAAGCTGGAGGGGCACAGCTAAGTTGCACAGCTTAGTAGAATTTGATCAAGCCCAACGCAATCTGTTTTCATACTACAGGAACGTTTGCAGAACAGCAGTGGATCTGCAGTGCTGTGCCTCTTCTCCTAGCTGATTCTGACCTAATTCACTTGGATAGTACTTTGGCCCAGCATCATGGAAAAATAATTTCCTCACTTCTTGTTCAATTAATAACATCAATAAGAAGTAAAATGCCACCAACAGATACATCAGTAAGAATAAGATCTTGATTATCACTGGGAAAGACATTTAAAACCTGAAGGCCACGACAGTGGGAAGATGAAACAGAACACCTTTACTCCCAGCCATTCCTAATCCCAACCCACGTTCACGCTGCAGGACAACAGCCTCAGCTCACGCACTGTAACGAGCTGGAACACAAAGAACACCAGGCATAGCACAGGAGGAGGCAAATGCAGTGCTGACTGCAACATCCTTATTCAGCCCACAATGTCTCAACACCATCTAGAAGGTAGTTATACACTTTAATGGTCACAAGCATCCTTACCAGGTCTTGTGGATCTGATTATCTGCTTTATCATCAAGGACATGGTGTCTCGCAGATCATCACTAGTCTTTGGAAGGCACCACCCATCCCGCTCTGTACATTCTGACTCTGTGCCATCATTCCGACGGATGATTTTCTGTAGGCTAAGAAGCAGCAAAAGGGAAGGAAACGTTAGCCTTCTACATTCTGAAGTAGGCTTCAATTGAGACAGACTATGGCTTACTTCCATTTTACTTCATTGAGTTGGAATAGCATATTTGGTTATTCAGGTAATTGTCATATGGGAAAGGAAGTCCATGTGTGAAAAGTCTGTTCTATTTTTATTCAGAAGCTGAACACCTCTCAAGTTCTCGGTCAAGGAGAGAGAGGGGAATGGGCTGGATATAAACAACAGGCTTTGAAATCTAGCTCTAACAGAAAACTCAGCTGCTAGTGTGCAATACCTTTCCACATTCAAGTCACACAGCTGGTAAAACATCTGCCGGTAAGGGGGTAAGGCTCCTTCTCGGAAAATGTAGATGGATTCCTAAGAGGAGGAAACAAGGAAGGGATTAAAATGCATTTTTATGGTGTAACAGGACAACTCTGGCATAACTGAAAGTACTTCTGATGGGCTGATTCAAGAACAAGGCATTTCCAACACAAATCGGTTCCAAGGCATAGGTCTGCGTATGGCAAAGATAAAGCTGAATGAGGAATGCAGCAAAATTTCACTACAGCCATAGTCACAACAGCACAGCTGTGCAGAGAACACACTTCATCTCTTCAAACTGCAGCTCTGCCTGCAGCCTGTTACTGCATAACAGTGGATTATAGGTTTCATTCTAGCAAAAAGGGAAGAATAAAAGACTCCTGCTTAAATATTTATTTTGCCCTGCTGGATTTTGCAGGACAACCTCATAAACACACAGTGATTTTTTTGCACTTCACTGTCCATAAAGTCCCAATTTTACCAATCGAAACAAAATGTTCGTCACATCTAAGACCAGGGCTAAGCGTACCAATCCCATCTTCCAGCATATAAGAAATACATTCAGTGCACAGCAGGTGAACTTCTGTAGCGACATGTACAACTAGTAGCTTCCCAGGTAAACCTGAGGACATCAACTCACTCACAACTGTCCCCTTAATAACTGACAAAACAGGAAACACCCCTTTTTCAGGAAGCTATTTAAAGATTCCAGAAAAAGAGAGTAATGCTTACCTTCAGTTTATACCTGCTGGAGGCAGGCTTTTTTGCACTGGATGCACCAGATGTACCAAGCCCCTGTTTCAGATCATGCACGCTGACTGTATGGCTTACTGAAAGAGAAAAAAAGAGTCCTAATGAAGGACATCTTTCATCTCTATGTTGATTCAACTTTGTCGGTCAGCAAAAACCAGACCAACCATGCAACTGAGCATGTGTTGCTCATTCTTCAGAGATGTTACTGGACAGTCATGGGAAAGGTGGTGAGTTTGGCAGCTTTTTTTGCAGCCCATTTGTTCATAATTTTAACCTTTTCTACTCTCCCTTGACTCTGCACCATCATTGAACAGAAGTGCATGCTGAATTCCAACAGTGTTGCCTGCAGAACTCCCTTCTATCTGCTAATGAATACTGTGGCTCAGCCAGACGTGCATCCACGACTCTCACAAAACTTCCTAGAGGAGACTCTTCTACTGGCTTAACAGCAGTACCATATAACCAGATATAAAGCTCCAATTTTGGCTCAGCTAGAACACAGGAAGACCCTTCACCATCTGTGACTAGGATGGGGTAAACAAAGAAACAGAAGAGCCAGACAGCCCTTCTGCTGGCACAGCATACCTGGCTTCTTGACAGTGATGGGCAGACTGTAGTTATACGTGCTGCGTTTTGCTTTCACGGGCATATCATTAGGGGCGTAACCTAGAGGAGAACAAAGAAAACCAGTAACGAACTGAGGGCAAGCACCCTGCAGAATATCCCTAGCTCAGTAACAGAAGTGCCGGACTCGTGTGTGAAAGGCAGGCTGCTCTTTGGGATACGCTGACTTTAGCAAGGTGGGGAGAGGAGACTGAGCAGATCAACAAAACCCTTTAACCTGGAAAGAGGGGGAGATGTGATCTGATGTTAATGACTGGATGCTCTGTCATGGACTTATTAGATGACCTCAGGAAGTTCTTTCTCTCAACTTGCCCTCTGCAAAATCAGAGCAGGGGAACCCCATGTCCCAAAGTCTGAGACCTAGCGTCCCGCACAAGTTGTTGAGGTCCTTGAGGAAAAGCTACTATGTAAACAACAGAATCTACTTGCTCAGTGCCTCCCCTGAGCAAGATGGAAGATGGTCTACTACATCCACTGGGCTTTGAACACATGGAGGAGGGAAGTCAGCCAGATGAGGCAAGGCATACTGCATACTGTGAAATAAAGTACTAAAAGAGTTTATGGAAGAACTATGGTAAGCCATGAGCTCAAAAGGTGCCATCTTCAGAGCAGAAACATGGCAAAAGAGTTTGAAAAGCAAGTAAAAAGAAAAGTACTACCAGGATTAATCAGAAAGCAGAGAGAGCGTCTCTGTGGGTTGGGCCCTTTTACCATATTTCATTCCACAGCGAATTCGGAAGTCCAATACTTGATAAATCTTTGCTTCAGGGTGTTTTCTGGGGTCATACCCAAATCTAACCCATAAGCTTCTCCAAGGACCGGTTAACTGTATAAACACACATGGGGGAAGATGGTTACAAAATAAACCAGTACAGTGTTGCAGAGGCTCTTCAAAAAAACTTCTATTTCCCTTCATTGTCCAAAGATTCTTTCTTTTACCAGCTCTTTCCTCACTGGCCATGCCAGAATTTATATACTGACACCTGGGCAATCAATGCATCGAAGCACAAATATGTGTGTGCTCTAACAAAACTAACTTGCAAGGTCACAAAATTCTGCTACCATTGCAAGATGGACAGTCGATTTGAGTGTCTGACTGAACTGCAAAGCCAATTAGAACCAATGGAGCAAAAAGTTACTGAATCCTCCATGGTTTTAACTCCTATTTAAAAGCAAGACTTTACTTCCTTCTTTCTCTTTACATAATGTTAAGCTCAGGTGCTTAGTGCTGGGACCTCAGAAACTGTAAAGAACCAGGAACATCCAGCTGATGCTCCCTCGTTCTACCTCCTAGCAGCCTCAGACAGGCACAAGGCACGATGTACAGACTCACCATGTAATAGGCCAAATACGGCAACAGAAGTTTCAGCTTATCCGGGTGGACACTGATATTGGCTTTTACTGCATTCCGAGACCAGACAGGGCGGACTTCAAAGAGCTAAAATAATACACAAACCATGGAAACAGTGGGAAGTGGGTTACTGATGGCAGTTCGGCTTTCCAAGTGGACTTTCTTCCTTATCGAGGCCTTCGGCTCTTAGTACAAGCTATCAGAACGGTACTGTAAGAACTAGTGGTACAAAAAGGAACGTAATGTGAGTTGGCTGCAAAGAGAGATTCCAATCATGACGTGCATAATTAAACTGAAGACAGCAGTGTCAGTGGCATCTACTGATACTTGCTGTGGCGATCAGTTACAATCACCAAGAACTTTTGGGGAAGTCAGAGAAAATGGCTGCATGCAGTTTTTCCCCTACAAAGCATGGTGCAATGTAGTGCTCAGCCCAGCTCAGGAGTACAGC